TGGGACTCTCCTCCCCCTTTCCCCTTCCCCCTCCCCTTCTTCTTCTGCAGTAATAATAACTGCTCTGATACGTCACCTGTGCTTGGATTTGGAATGCAGGCCTTCCACGGCATTGGCTACAGCCTGGTATAGAAACATATAGCTGGAAGGGCCCTCAAGGGAAACCCAGTCCAGCCCCCTGCACAATGCTCAGCCCCCCCCCCCCAGTGGACCCCCGCCCTTTGCCCAGATGAATGCAAAAACCTCCAGGATCCCTGGGCCAATTTGGCCTGGAGGAAAATTCCTTCCTGGCCCCACAAAGTGGCGATCGGCATTTCCCCGGGCGTGTAAGAAAGGGCCAGGAGAACGAAGCCCCGAGGCAACCCTTCCTGCCCTCCCTCTCGCGATCCGCCTCAGTTCACAGGATCAGCATGGCTGTCAGGTGGCCATTGTGCCTCTGTTTGGAAACCTCCAAAGGAGGAGAGCCCACCACCTCCCGAGGAAGCCCCGGCTGCAAAGGCGTTTCAGCATCTATAGCTTTCTGACTGCTTTTCAGGTGGCGATGAACCGAGCTCAGGTGTGTTTAATATCCAGTTCCAAGTCCGGAGAGAGGCACCTCTATCTTATTAAAGTGTCGAGGGATAAGATCTCAGACAGCGATGACCAAGAAACGACCAACTGCGATGCTAAAGGTAACTTGGGTGGGCGTATGTGCGCACATTTGTTGGCGTCAAAGAAGCAAGGGTTGTCACCTTTCCCGAGAAAGCAAATCCCCGCTTTTTGCTTCCTGCTTTGGGTAGGGTCATTTGAGGCAGAAGGTCCTGTCTCTTTAATTTACGAGACTGTACTCAGAAACCCTCCAAAACATTCCGTCCTTGTGTCAGGACTTGATTCGAGTTCCACTAGTAAAGGTAAAGGTTCCCCTTGCTCGAAAGCCAGTCGAGTCTGACTATAGGGTTGCGGTGCTCATCTCCATTTCAAAGCCGAAGAGCCAGCGCTGTCCGAAGACGTTTCCGTGGTCATGTGGCTGGCATGACTCAACACCGAGGCGCACGGAATGCTGTTCCCTTCCCACCGAAGTGGTACCTATTGATCTACTTGCAATTTCTTGCTTTCGAACTGCTAGGTTGGCAGGAGCTGGAACTAGAGACGGGAGCTCACTCCGTCATGCGGCACACTCGGGTCTCGAACTGCTGAACTACCGACCTTCCACAGCCTGCAGTTCAGCGTCTTAACCACTTGAGCCACCGCAGCTCCTACAGCACCGAGTTCCACTACTCATCTCCTTTTTTTGGTGTATTTGTGTGTGTGTGTGTGTGCCTGGAAGTCATGATTAACTTCTGGCCACTCCTAGTGGGGCTTGGACCTGCTCCTACATCCTGGCCCTGGTATTCCTTGGAGGTCTCCCATCCAAGTACTTGCCGGGGTTGGCCCTGCTTAGCTTCTGAGATCTGACAAGCTCAGGCTAGCCTGGGCTATCCAGGTCAGGGCTCGTTCTGCTACTCGTCTCTGTCTGGCTTTTGTTTAAGAACCTAAGAAGAGCCCTGCTGGATCAGACCAGTGAGGGTCCATCTAGTCCAGCCTCCTGTCTCACACAGGGGCCAACCAAGTAAGAGCTCTGCTGGATCAGACCAATAGTCCATCCAGTCTAGCATTCTGTCTCACACAGGGGCCAGCCGGTTCCTCTGGAGGGCCAACAACAGGGCATAGAAGCCGAGGCCTTCCTAAGAACATCAGAAGAGCCCTGCTGGATCAAACCAGTGGTCCATCCAGTCCAGCATCCCGTTTCACACAGCGGCCAACCAGTTCCTCTGGAGGGCCAACAACAGGGCATAGAAGCCGAGGCCTTCCTAAGAACATCAGAAGAGCCCTGCTGGATCAAACCAGTGGTCCATCCAGTCCAGCATCCCGTTTCACACAGCGGCCAACCAGTTCCTCTGGAGGGCCAACAACAGGACATAGAAGACGAGGCCTTCCTAAGAACATAGGAAGAGCCCTGCTGGATCAAACCAGTGGTCCATCTAGTCCAGCATCTCATTTCACACAGTGGCCAATTGGTTCCTCTGGAAGGCCAACAACAGGGCATGGAGGCCTTCTCCTGATAAGAACCTCAGAAGAGCCCTGCTGGAGGCCGAGGCCTTCCCCTGATGTGGCCTCTGGCTCTGGGATTCAGAGGCTCAGTGTCTCTGAATGTGGAGATTCCCCTCAGTCACCATGGCTAGGAGCCATCGATAGACTTCTCCTCCATGGATCTATCTCATCCCCTTTTCAAGCTGTATATTTCCGTGGCCCTCATGACACCCTCTGGCAGCGGATTCCACATCTGAACCACTTTCAAAACCAGTTAAAAGTAAATCGTATTTACTGTGTCGTTCAGGACTATAATAAACCTCTCAAAGATTATTTTTAAACTCTAAACGTGTCTACTCCTCAGAGCCAGCTCACAGTCACATTGTCACCCTGCCCAGTTACATGAACTGACTTTGTTTCATGCTCCGTGTCTCTGGTGAATAATATAATAATATAAACAATACTGCGGTGGCTTAAGTGGTTAAGACGCTGAACTGCAGGCTGTGGAAGGTAGGTAGTTCAGCAGTTCGAGACCCGAGTGTGCCGCATGACGGAGTGAGCTCCTGTCTCTGGTTCCAGGTCCTGCCAACCTAGCAGTTCGAAAGCAAGAAATTGCAAGTAGATAAACAGGCACCCCTTCGGTGGGAAAGGAACAGCGTTCCGTGCGCCTTGGTGGAACTGACACAGTTCAGATGTTAAGACAGTGGGATATACCCACTGTGCCACCGCTCCCCACACCGCTTTAAATGTGTATACTCCTCAGAGCCAGCTCAGTCACGTCGTCACCCTGCCCAGTTACATGAACTGACTTTGCTTCATGCTCCGTGTCTCTGGGGAATAATATAAACAGTACTACCAACTGCAAGGGTCCACAGCTAAGCAAAGGGGCTAGCCATCCCGGCTGATAAAATCCACCCTAGTGGAGCACATAGACATTGATAGAATTATCCTCCAAGAATCTATTGAATCCCCTTTGAAAGCTGTTTATTCCTGGGGCCATCACTACACCCTCTGGCAGTGGATTCCCCATTTTCATAGAATCACAGAATGTTAGCATTGGAAGGGACTTTGCAGGTCATCTAGTCCAACCCCCTGCACTCTGCAGGAGCATGGCCGCAAGAGAGCCCTACAACATACTCCTGATATTTAGCTGGTAACGACTCCCTTGTAATTTCCACCCATTAGATCTAGTCTTGCAATCCAGAGCAAGAGAGGATAGATCTGCTCCATCTTCTACATGACAACCCTTCAGATATTTGAAGACTGCAATCGTGTCCCCTCTAAGCCTTCTCTTTCTCGGGCTAAACATACCCAACTCCGCCTTTCCTCGTAAGACTTGGATTCCAACCCTCTCACCCTCCTGGTTGCCCTCTTCTGGACACGCTCGAGCTTGTCAACATCCTTCCTAAAATGTGGTGCCCAATACTGGACACAGTACTCCAGGTGAGACCTGACCATAGCAGAATAGAGCGGAATGACCACCTCCCTTGATCTGGACACGATGCTTCTGTTAATGCATCCTAAGATTTTAACATAGATCAGCTTGTCGCTCAATTCTAGCGATCTCCTTCCCTCCCTTGACTCAATTGAATGAAGGTCTGAAGACAAGGCCACACTGCGAGGAAATCAGTGCAACTCTGTATCATGAGAGGGGTTGGCGTGATGTGGTCCATATCAGTATGGCCAAGTCAGTATGGCCAGATGGCCGATTATTTCCTTAACTTAGTTCAGCCTTCACACCGTAGAGCCTTGACATTAGCCCGTCTAAATGTTTCCCCCTCAAAAGTGCTCTTAGGTGGGTTTAATAAAATTCCCCTACATGAAAGGTTATGTTCACGCCCTTTAAAATCTGTGGGTTCAATATATCATATTATCTTCGACTGCCGATTTCACTCAGCCTTACGCAAAGAATTGTTGTCATCTCTTAATTATAGTTCTAATAAGGAAAAGGCTATTCTCCCTCTGAGTTGGAGGACATCCTGTGTGGGTGATTCCCATCCATCATTCAGGGAGGCAGGACTTACAAAAGAACTTCCTGTTTCCTGTGGTGGGAGTCACCCTTTCCTCAGTTCTTTTCCTGCCTCAAGAGGGAGAGCAGCTCGTTAGGCTTTGCCAAACCTTTTACCTTTCTTACCTTCTTGCTAAGCTATTTCTTGTAGAGCATTAACCCTCCTTTCTTCCCCTTTTCTTTCAGACCTTTCTCTGGACGGCCTTCTATCAAAAAAATAAAAATAATAACAATAATAATTACAAAGGGGGGCCTTTTAACCCCCCCAGTTTTTTCCTCTCCTCATCTCCTAGAACTGCCGATCTTCTCCTCCTCTCTTCCAGCTTGCCTACTAAATCCTACCTCCTCACCCGATCGCCTTTGATCGGAAGCCGCGCTCCGCTGCAGTTACTCTGATCCTGGACAAGAATTTTAGAAAAGCGTATAACTACATCAGGTGAGTTCCCTGGGGCAGCTGTGCTGAGGTGAACTTGAGCTAAGCGCGTCTCCTTTAGAGCAAGGGTTCCCCAGCGTGGCACCAGGGGGGTAGCATGGAGTCTGTCGATACCTTTTCTGGCACCTTGCCGGGTGTTTTTAGACAGTGGGCGGGGCTCTTGCCCAGAAAAGCTTCCGGGGGGCCATTGGAGATTTGATTGGCTATGCAGAGCTTTTTGTAGATGTTGCCTTGGCAGCAGCTCCCTCCACACTACAAGGCTCTGTGTGACTGACATTCCTCTGGAGGGCCAATGACAGGGCACAGAGGCCGAGGCCTTCCTCTGATGTGGCCTCCTGGCTCTGGGCCTCAGAAGATTAGTGCCTCTGAATGTGGAGGTTCCCCTCGGTCACCAGGGCTAATAGCCATTGATAGACTTATCTTCCATGAATCTATATATAAGAACATCAGAAGAGCCCTGCTGGATCAGACCAATAGTCTATCTAGTCCAGCATTCTGTCTCACACAGTGGCCAACCAGTCCCTCTGGAGGGTCAACAACAGGGCACGGAGGCCGAGGCCTTCCCCTGATAAGAACCTCAGAAGAGCCCTGCTGGATCCGACCAGCCCTGCTGGATCAGACCAATAGTCTATCTAGTCCAGCATTCTGTCTCACACAGTGGCCAACCAGTCCCTCTGGAGGGTCAACAACAGGGCACGGAGGCCGAGGCCTTCCCCTGATAAGAACCTCAGAAGAGCCCTGCTGGATCCGACCAGTGAAGGAGAAGGCTCATTCGGTCCAGCCTCCCGTCTCACACAGGGGCCAACCAGTCCCTCTGGACAGCCAACAATAGGGCAGAGAGGCCCTAACAATAGGGCAGAGAGGCCCTGAGAAGAACACCAGAAGAGCCCTGCTGGATCAGACCAGTGAAGGTCCATCCAGTCCAGCATCCTGTCTCACATAGTGGCCAATGAAAAAAGGAAAAAGAACTGTGACAATTTAGCGCTTGGTAATATATTCATAAAT